GAATAAATTGCCACAGTGGGCAGGATCTGGCCCACGGGCCATAGTTTGAGGACCCATGGTCTTAGAGGAGATCACCTCTACTGCTCTTTAGAAGGCCAGATACTGAAGATGAAACTCAATACTTTGGCCACCTAATAAGAAGGGAGGACTCACTGGAGAAGAGCCTAATGCAGGAGCAATTGAAGGCAAAAGAAGGGGAGGGCAGAGAATGAGGTGGCTAGATAGAGTCACCGAAGCAGTCAGTGTGTGCTTAAGTGGACTCCTGGGGATGGTGGAGGGCAGGAGAGCCTGGAGGAATGTTGTCCATGGGGTTGTGATGGGTCAGATGCGACTTTGCAACTAGCAAGCAAGCAAGATTCAGCTCCTAATCTAGCTGGCTTCTGTTCATGAAACAAGGAAAAGCCATTGTGTCATTAATCCCATACCATAAAACATACTGGGCTGGCCTTGGGAATGTGTATATTTAGGCTAGACATGCTTTATAGCCAATCCTAGCTATAGCTGGTTTTGGTTGGGTTCCTTTTTGTTCTATGACTTTCTCTGCACTGACAACACCAAGCTGTGGCTGAATTAAGACAAATGCACCCTGCTTTGGGGAGAGCTTCATTTGCATTGTATTGGCAAAAGTGTCTTCATGCGTGGTTTCACATGCACCTAGCCTGTGGTAGGACTTCTGCACTCTTGTCTTTTGAGATGGCATCACTTTGTCAGAAAGGGAAGGGCAGGTGTAGATTGGTTCTTTAGTTGGGATGGTTGGGCTCCAACTTCCACAATCCTTGGCTCATTGGAGATGATAGGAACTGTAATGTATAACACTAACGTGGCCACAAGTTCTCTACCCTGGTTTAGTGGATTGCTTGATTCTGTTAAATGATGCTCGAAAGAATGGCAAAGTACTTGCAATATTGCCTCTCTAAATAAATGGGAAGCAAGCTCAGCCTTTATATTTGGATTTATTTAACTTAAGCCATATATTGCCAGGGAGTCTACAATGTTTTACACATTGTAAATGTTTTGGTGCCTGCAGTTGCTAGTCCGCTGCTGTGCTGGTGCACCGCAGGGGGCAAACTAGTTTAGCACTGGTTGGCCAGTGGCGTTCTTGCTGAAGTCAGTTCATCCAGGCCTTTTCTCCACCGATTCTCCACTGAACACATCCAGGTAGATCCAAGGCCAGTGCTTGTTTTCATCAGGAACTAAGCCAACAAGTTTCCCACTGAGGAGTGGTCGTCCTTATTTATCTACTTGCAGATACTGCTAGGCAGGAAGGAGCTAGTGGCAGATGACGTTAGTTTAATCTGTCCCATGAAAGTGGGCTTAAACTGCTGGAGTGCCAACCATTTCTGATCGACAGTTCCAGCATCATTAAGCTGCCATGCCACCTCGCCCTGCTTTATATTTGGAAAAGGGCCATATTATCCATTTTCAGATCATCTAGGATATTCTTATTTTTGATTTTTTTGAAAAAAGTTAACATAGCTATTCAAGAAAGAACAGATGACACTACAATATATGTAGCCCCCTTTCCCCCCAAAATGATATAGATATTACTGATTTAGATATGGTGTTAAACTTAAACAACAGGGACAATATTGCTGCAATTTCAAATCCTAAATGCTTTTGCTACTTTCATAGGGCTTAAACATTTGAGGTATAGCATTGCTATTAACAGATTTTTTTCCCTAGAGCTTATTTTTAGAGATAAGATTTGTGGACAAATTAGTATTTCATGATTTATTGAAAGAAGTATCACAGTTTCCTTTCTCTGTATTACTCTTTTTAATAAACTCATAATGAGCCATGTGAGTTTGACAAAAAACTGACAAAAAATCTCTGCCCTTTTGACTCACCTACTTTGACACATGCACTTTTTGTAGGTGGACTAAATACTGCCCTACACCATGCCTCTGCCTAAAGTAGTCTGGGGGCTACAAGCTCATCTGCTAGGGTAGGTGCAGGTTTCAGAAAACACTATTGCACTCATTTCTGGTATTCAGGAATAATGCCTGAGAGAAAGTATCTTTGTTCAATGTAGTGAGCCATTCCAGAGACTCAGCCCTGTTGTGCTACATGGAAAAAGCAGTCCTCTAGAGTTTTAAAAGGGATTCTTAGGACAAAATATCAACACGATTGTGTGTGTGGCCACAATTTTCACTGCAGTGAGAAAAAGCTATCTGGGAGATGATTTTCCCAGAAAACAAAACGCAGGTACTTGGAAATAGCAATGAACAAACTGCGTTTGATACAAATACTTATTTACTTGTGTAGAAAGAAAGTGCTAAAGCACTGAGTATACCAAAGTTTTGGGACTAGAGATTCCGATGGGGGCGGTTATTCGGTAGATGTCTCTTCACGCAATTCTCTCCCCTATGCAGATATGCCCCCCGAGGGATGCGTCAGCGAATTTACAAGCTTCTGCGTGAACTGGAGAACGCACAAAGGCGTCAGTTTGCACGGCCACGTGCCGGCGTGCTCCACTTCGCACACGTGCGTGCCCTCCCTGACACTCGCGCGCTCGCCGCCCAGCCCCGCGCGAGGGGGCGGGTCCCCGGCGGCTCCTCTCGCTGCCCAATCTGGCTCAGGGGCTGGGCTGGGCTTGCTCAGCCGCCGGCTCTATGGAAGGGCAATGACCGGGGCTGCCTTCGAGTAGGCGCCCGGCTGGGACGCCGAGCCAGTGCGAGGAGCGGAGAACTCGCAAAAGCAACTGTCGTTGCCTGCGGAAGGTGCTCTGGCAGACGTACACAGGAGAAGCGCCAGCGAGAGCATCGGCTCTCGGGACAGACGCTGGCAGGTACCGGAGCGGGAGCAGACGGTAGTCGGCAAGTCCCTGGGGTGGGTGGAGGAGGGCCTGGGGAGGCGGCGGTTTCTCACCTGCAGGGAGCGTGCGAGTAGCCGCGCGCGCGCGCGCGCTTTCCACTTAGTCTGGGTTGCAGCTGATGCGGGAGAGATGCGAAGGCGGAAAACATTGTTCTTTTCCCGGACGAGCGAACCCTTGCTCCCTGCCTCTTGGAGGCATTGGGTTAGTAAAAACTCCTAGAGCCGCGTGTGGCGCAACACTTAAGTGATTTAGTCCGAGGTCTCCGGCAAGTGAGATCAATTGCATATAATTAGGCTGCCTGGTCTTTAAAGCAAGCTTTCGTCTTCTGCAGAACTCTTCTTTAAGCAGTGCCAGATTCCCCGAGTAAGCTTAAAAGGCAAGACATGCATCTTGGGAGTCTGAAGTGTTCTCCATCTTTTCAAAGCGTGCTGTATCAGCAATTTGGGAAATGAAGTTGTTGTTCTGCCTGCTCGGTCTTTTTAAAGCCCAAGTAAAAGAGTGCAGGACTTGATGCACTTTTGGGCCGATCCAGCATGGCTGTTCTTAAATAGCTGCAGCAGAACGTTAGAATCTGCCCTGGTCTTACCTCAGAAAGGCCAGCTGTACTGGTAAGCGGAAAGTTACGCTGATCCTCTAAAAACACTCCCCTCAAGTTCCCACTTCCTCCAAACAGCTAGCCGCAAAGATTTGCGTTGCAAAATACTTCCCAGCCTTTTGCCCTGGTATTTATTGTTCTCTACAAGAATGTATCTGATTTACATTTTTTTGGACAATAGTTGAATATTTGTACAAACCAATATGTAGCTTAGACGTTATTTACTGATACTTAGGATGTTTGAGCTGGCAGTTGTTTATCGTTTCAAGTGCCTGACTGGAATGTATGTTGGGGTGCGATCGCTCAAATGTCAGGAAGGGCATAGGATGTTAAAAGGCTCTTCCCGGTCTTGTACAGTTCTGCCACCTGTGCTGTATACATTTTACAGTGTAAACACTGAATAGCCATGCCCTGTTGCGGGTGTGAGTGAAAGGATTACATTATCTTTAGAACTGAGCCCTTCAGAAGATTGCCAGGATATTCGGGGCACTTTGCTAGGAACAGCATATGTGTATCTGTTGAAAGCAAAGTGCTTTGTAGCACTTCAAGCCTAGCAGTTTTATTTTGGTTTAAGTCTTTGTAGACTGTAGCCCACTTCTTCAAATGCCACATCAGACAAAGTGAGCTTGATTCCACCATAGTTTATTGTACAGATAAAATTGTTTGTCTTCATCAGTGCCACTTGTTGTTTTTGCTGCAATAGACTGACATGGCCACTTTGTAAAAGTTTTGTCTCTTGAGTTTCCTTTATTTGAGTCTACCATTTGAGGGAGAGGTACCATGACAGGTATTTATTTATTTATTTATTTATTTATTTAAACAACTTATATGTCGCCCCATTGCATGAGCCTCGGGGCGGCTTACAATCATAAAATCCTGCATAAAATACAAAATCATCAAATAATTAAAATACATATACTGGCATTTGAAGTGGGTACATCTTTTAGTGTTCATGGTAAGCTTCTGCCATCCATGAAGAAGATTTTCTCTGGACTGAATGAAAAAATTATACCAAAATATTTGGTAAAAAAACTCAGTTGACTATTTTCCAAACAGAACTCTTCTTTAGAGTTACAGAGCATATTTTAAAATACTTGATTCAGTTAGCAAATAGAATTAAGTTGGCTTTACAAAGGTTTGTATCTGACCAGGTGATCTATTTCACAGAGGCTGATTTCAACTATAAATGAGTTGTCCTTAAGGTTTTACAAGACAAATTGTTTTTTACTGCAGCAGAACTAATGTCTACTGTGGAAGTCCACAAGAGTTACTACAGCACCAAAAAAACCTGTTTTGAGTTGGCCTGCTTAAACACATGGTAATAATTTGTGGTACATGGATAGCCTAAGACTGAAACCAACCAACTCTCTTTTAGTTTACAAACCTTTACTTCCTAATCACCTAGAGGTAACTTGGTTATTATAGGCAACAATGTGAGTAGCTGTTTTCAAGCCTGAGTTAAATCAATAACTCCGAGTGAGTAATGAACCTTTCATCTGTTTACAGACTTCATCTTTCTACATTCTGAATTTCTTGCACCACTTGAAGTAGGAAATTTGAAAGGGCCCTTCCTGTGAGAGGGATGTCACTATGCACTATGAGGTGGCAGATTATCCGAAGTCCAGCAGCGGTGCAGCACTTTTTGACGTTCTTGACAAATGCCAAGTCATGCCAATGAAGGAGCTGCCCCAAGTCAATTGTTCTAACTCCAGCCGAGCTTTCTTGAATTCCCAGATGTCCTTTAAAATAACTGTCAGCAATGGGGGCAGCAGCGTTGAAGCTCAGCAGAGCCCACCAGAACTGCCAGTGCCCCTGCTAGATTTCTTTCCCAAAAGGCCTAGCATATTTGAGAGACTCCCTATTCTCCAGAGGGCACAGGAGACATTATGCACTAAAGCTGGCAGAGAATATTTTCAACAGAAGGGTGAGTAATAAAATGCATGAGTTGTAAAGTATCTCATCTGTGGTAACTTTTTTTTTCTTATTTCTTTGCATGGCATTTTAATGTTTGTTCATTAATTATTTTAGCATGGTAACTTTATCTTCTCATTGCAAGATAATCTAAACTGGATGTTCCTTGTAGGTGTCCATTGATGTTTATAATAAGTAATCACAGTACAACATCTTGCAAAACATGCACAGATTGTACTATTAAAATGTGGTATCGGAAGAGAATCTCTTTCACATTCACTTTCATTTAATGAGAAGATGAAACTGCTACTTGTCTTCTGTTTGTTGATATGTGCCACCAAGTCTTCTCCAACTTAAGGTGAGCAGAATAATGAATGCCCTACCCATGATAGCCCTTCTCAGCTCTTGTAAATTCAAGGCTGTGGCTTCCTTTATGAAGTCTTTCTCATATCTGGTTTTCTTCTTCTCCCTTTGACTTTCCCTGAGATGATTGCCTTCTCCAGTGAACCACAGTCTTCTATGGGAACTTAGTAGGATTGTTGGCGTTTGAAAATAAAATACATTTTGTATGCATAATATATTTAATAATTGAGAAAGAAACATGATCATGCAAACTCTTTGTTACATGGATTAAGGAGTTTTTCTTTGCCTTTCTTTATATTAATAATTTATGCCACTCCTAATTGCAAAGTGGTGAATATCTTTATCCTACGTTCCGTTAATCTTGTGAGCAAGTTAGTATTATTTTTGTTCAATAAATGTAGAAGTCTGATTGATGAATACTTAGCAAGATTGTCTTGCAACACAGATTGGCTAGAAGGAGATTTGATGGTATATCCATCTTAAGTGAATGTGGGATGGTTCTAGTATGCAAATCCAAGATGTATCATCCCTGAAGGTGGAAAGAATACTATCTGCATTTACGCATAGGTAATCCATTTGACAAGACAAAGCTTTGTGAGGGTGTCACAGATGTAGTTTGTAGTTGGCTGTTCATTTTCTGCAGCAATGTGTATCTCCCCCGCCAGATGTGGACTGGTAGAAATTGTAGGTGGCTGCTTCCTGTTTTATGCTAAAAATCGCCAAACCCTGTGCTTAATATTTTATTAACATCATATTATCACTTTCTATCTCAAAGAACTCTCATGGTGGCCATGGTATACATTTAATTAAGAATAACACATTAGGTCAACAAAGTGCACTTTTGTTGTTAGTTGTGAAGTCGTGCCCTACCCATCGCAACTCCATGGACAACATTCCTCCAGGCCTTCCTGTCCTCCACCATCCCCTGGAGTCCACTTAAGCTCACTCCGACTGCTTCAGTGACTCCATCCAGCCACCTCATCCTCTGCCGTCCCCTTCTTCTTTTGCCATCTATTGTTCCCAGCATTAGGCTCTTCTCCAGGGAGTCCTTCCTTCTCATCTGGTGGCCAAAGTATTTGAGTTTCATCTTCAGGATCTGACCTTCTTAAGAGCAGTCAGGGTTAATCTCCTCTAGGACTGACTGGTTTGATCTCCTTGCAGTCCAAGAGACTCACAGGAGTCTTCCCCAGCACCACAGTTCAAAGGCCTCAGTCCTTTTGCGCTCAGCCTTCCTTATGGTCCAGCTTTCAGAGCTATACATTGCAACTGAGAAAACCATAGCCTTGACTATATGCACTTTTGTCAGCAGGGTAATGTCTCTGTTTTTTAGTATGCTGTCTAGATTTGCCATAGCTTTCCTCCCCAGGAGCAAGCATCTTTTAATTTCTTGGTTGCAGTCCCCATCTGCGGTGATCTTGGAGCCCAGGACAATAAAATCTGTCACTACCTCCATTTCATCCCCATCTATTTGCCAGGAAGTGAGAGGACCGGATGCCATGATCTTAGTTTTCTTAATGTTGAGTTTCAAGCCAACTTTTGCACTCTTCTCCTTCACCCACATCAAGAGCCTCTTTAATTTCTCTTTACTTTCTGCCATTAGAGTGGTATCATCTGCATATCTGAGGTTGTTGATATTTTTCCCAGCAATCTTAATTCCAACTTGTGATTCATCTAGTCCCTCCTTTTGCATGATGTGCTCTACATATAAGTTAAATAGGCAGGGCGACAATATACAGCCTTGTCAAACTCCTTTCCCAATTTTGAACCAATCAGTGGTTCCATATCCAGTTCTCACTGTTGCTTCTTGACCCACATACGCGTTTCTCAAGAGACAAATAAGATGGTCTGGTACTCCCATTTCTTTAAGAATTTGCCACAGTTTGTTGTGATCCACACAATCAAAGGCTTTAGCATAGTCAATGAAGCAGAGGTAGATGTTTTTCTGGAACTCCCTAGCTTTCTCCATGATCCAGCATATGTTGGCAATTTGATCTTTAGTTCCTCTGCCTCTTTGAAACCCTGCCTGTACTTCTGGTAGTTCTCGGTCTACATACTGCTGGGGCCTAGCTTGTAGGATTTTGAGCATAACTTTGCTGGCATGTGAAATGAATGCAATGGTGCGATAGTTCAAACATTCTTTGGCATTGCCCTTCTTTGGAATTGGAATGTAAACTGACCTTTTCCAATCCTGTGACCACTGTTGAGTTTTCCAAATTTGCTGGCATATTGAGAGTAGCACTTTAACTGCATTGTCTTTTAGGATTTTGAATAGCTCAGCTGGAATACTGTCTCCTCCACCAACTTTGTTGGTGTGCTCAAACTTCCTAAGGCCCATTTGACTTCACATTCCAGGAAGTCTGGCTCAAGGTCAGTGACCACCGCCTCGTGGTTATCAGGGATGTTAAGCTCTTTCTTGTATAGTTCTTCTGTGTAATCTTGCCTCCTCTTCTTAATCTCTTCTGCCTCTGTTAAGTCCCTGCCATTTTGGTCCTTTATCATGCCCATCTTTGCATGAAACATTCCCTTCATATCTCCAATTTTCTTGAAGTGGTCTCTAGTCTAAGGACATCATTTTTGGTGTTATTTCTAGAAGTTGTTGTAGGCCTTTATAGAACCGGTCGACTTCAGCCTGTTCAGCATCAGTAGCAGGGGCATAGACTTGGACTACTGTGATGTTGAATGGTTTGCCTTGGATTCGAACTGAGATCATTCTGTCATTTTGGAGATTGTATCCCAGTACTGCTTTTCCTACTCTTTTACTGACTATGAAGGCTACTCCATTTCTTCTGAGGGATTCTTGCCCGCAGTAGTATACCTGATGGTCATCTGAATTAAATTCACCCATTCCTGTCCATTTTAGTTCCCTGATTCCCAAGATATCGATGTTCAGTCTTGTCATCTCATTTTTGACAAGCTTACCTTGATTCATATATCTTAAACTGCAGTTTTAAAACCCCACAAAAGCCTAATAAGACAGCAAGAAAAATGACATCATTTTTCAGTTATCAGTGACTACTAGTTATGACAACATAACAAATGCCCCAAAGGTTTATCTGTGTAGCATCCTTATATGGGAATTGAGGCTTATGGGAAACTCAAAAGGAGAACACTAATAGCGTTCTCCTATCATTGCTCCTCAGCAGCTGCCCATCAAGAGGCATGTTGCCTCTGATCTTTAGTGTGAAATCATAACTAGTAGTCACTGATAACTTTATCCTCCTTGTTTTCTAAGCAAAAAAGCCTCCAATGAAGCCTGTTTTTGTATCTGTTTTAAATTTGGTTTAAAATTTGGTTTCGTAGGCATCTTCATGAAGTTTTAACAAAGTGCATTTTATATCGTATTTTTAAAGTGCTGTTGTAAACTGTCCAGAGAGCTTCAGCTGTTGGGCAGTATAGAAATTTAACGATAATAACAACTGTTCTAATAGGGTAAAAACAACAAACAAATGTTACTTTAAGGTGTGGTATTTTAAAAACTCACATTGATTGCTACATTAAGTGTTCATGAAACTATTACTTGCTTCATCAGATGTATCACTATAATCCATGTAAACTCTTGCCAGAATAAATATGTTAGCTTGTAAGGTGCCACATGCCTCTTTGTTGTTTCTGTTGCAGCAGAGGGAGACCATTATCTTTCGGAAATGTTTTGACCTGCATAGTTGCTCAAGTCTCATGGCCATTCTAGTTACTCCTTTCTGCATTCAAATACCTCTTGGAATGAAAAAGGTATTTTTTCCTCTAAGTGACTTTCAGGGCTGCTAGTGCTACCAGTAAAAATACATCTTACACCCATTCTTCCCTTTTGTCTCTTTAACAGGTTCTTTTTGGGGTGGAATGATAACAGAAAAAATGATGAGAAAATTAATCTACTTTGTAAAGTTTGGCTCAGTTTGCACCATCACCACATCTTAAATAAGCCGTGGTGGTTTGTTTAAGCTCCAGTGTGGGCTGGACACAATTTGTTTAGTTATTTGCTGGTTATGTTAGGTTATTTGAAGGTTGTTTTCCCCCCTCAAACAAGTCATGCTGCATGCATTTGAATGGCAAGCCACATCTGGGCAGGTAATTAGGTAAAAGGTGTCTTGCATATGCCGTAGTATGATGTGATTATGCAAACTGGGCCAGCATGAATGTGGCAGGGTGACTGCATGATAAAACCCTCATCTTGAAGAGTCCTAAAAATTCAATTTTAGGTTTATTTGATGGAAACAAAGCTGTTTAGTGAGAGTTGATAATCGGGTTTCTAAGAAGTGATGGATGTTTTTGAAGTGATATAGTAAAACATAACAAAGTATGATATCTCAAAGAAATCCCATGCTGTTTTCTTAAAAAATCCTATAGCAATGTTCTGCATAATGGATTGCTTGATAGCACTGAAAAGAGAGATGGATAGGAGGTGAAAAGAAACTTGAGCAGAAGCTGCAAAGCTAAAATAGATCAGACCTAATTCTGGTTCCTTGTTATTCCTACAGTAAGTTGGAACTGGTTGTAACAATGATTTTCAATAGCTTGGCTGGGAATAGTTGTAGTTCTTTTTTTGAGTAGCAGATGATCATTTAGCTTCTATAGTGGTTCTTAACCACTGGTTCCAGGAATCTGTGCACTAGCCCGAATGGTCCTTTTAAAATTTATTATTGGATCTATTTA